AGGAAATTTTGCGCGCCTGCACATCTGCGCCCGGGGGCAACTGCCCCCTCTTGCTACGCCACTGTGAACGCTGTCTTACAAGAATTTTGTACAAGTTATGTTGTGGATAATTTTCCCGCGGTTATTTTGATACCCACGTAATGTAAGTGGACTATTCCAACGACTGCGCGTGCGCATTTGTTAATAGGAGCGTCGCACCCGATTTGTGAAGAAGCGCTAATAGTCTTTAAGAAAGGTAGAGTGGTGTGGTTGTACTGTTTATAACTCTGAATCTATTAAAAATTTTACGTGAAGAAATATTTGCATTGTGGAGCTGTATAACTACAAGCCTGTAAATTTAAACATGGGAGAGAATTTGAATAATAATACTCAGAATATTGCTGATTATTTAGCGCAATTATTTAAAGATAAAACTAAACTTGCAGCATTCTCAAATGTGTTTGTCCATCTAGAAAGGCTTCTCGATGAAGGTACGTAATATTTGTATTAATTTATAAAATTATATCTAAGTACATTTCAACATTGATTGAGCTTGACATTATACTTAAAAGTTATAGACAAGTTTGGTCTTTTTCCGTAGTAACTAGCTTAGAGAATTCATGACGTAGACTGCATTATTTATATACAGCCTTCTTTATAAATTAGTCTATAGTATTTACTTAGTAATAGCATATATATATATATATATAGTTTTACACATTTTTTAACAAGTGCCGTAGCGATTTGTTTATCACTAGCGCCGCTAACGGGTAACTTATTCTCTTAAAATTTCAAATTTACGTTAACTTTTAATTTAAGATTGAAAAGTTTAAAAGGCTTACATTTTTACAGTGTTGTGACTTAACTTTAAATATCATACCTAAATTGAGCTAAAGTTAGCCCTATTATTCCTACTCCTACTAAAAATTACCATGAATTGTAGGAGAAGATAATACGAGTTATTATTCATATTGATAAAATTTATAATAATAGTCTAAACGTGTTATTGTAAAACTGAAATATAACACGCGGAACTTGAAAGTTGAAGGCTGAAACAAAATTAATGGTAATTAAGTTGAAACCTGGATATTAATTATAAATGTTAATATAATTAAGATTTTCGTTTACAAATTACACTGATTACAATCACAGTTTATACGTTGTTGTCGAAGTGTCATTACCACTTTTACTAGTGTTAATGTTAAAAAGCATCATTACCAAATATGCAACAAATATAATATTTTGAACTAGAACTGAAACCTTAACAAAAGTTAATGATAATAGTTTTGTTATATTTGCAAAATGCAGCAAATTACAGGCCTCAAACACTTGTTCTACAATTTATCTGGATCAGGAAGTTGAAATCCATCTTCCATATCCAAAATCGTGCAATTTTTTATTGAACTGTTAATGTTGTGGTATGTTATCAAATAATATTTTTGCTTTTCAAGTTTTTTTTATTTATTTTTTGACAGGTTAGTGCATGATTGTTGGTTTAGATCCTAAAAGTGTTTGGAAAAGAACATGCCAACCTTGAACGATTAAAACCAACATAATGTTTGTTTTGTGTTGTGACAAGAACAATGCCAGTAGCAGTAACTAATATTTATAAACTTTGAAGGATCTAACAACTGGCAAGACATAACTAATAACTTGTAAACTAACCTATGTGGAAAATTTGGCACTGAAGGGAATAAGTAATCTTTTGAATCCAAACAACAGAAGAGTAGAATTAATGGTTAAAATTATGTTTACTCAATGGAAAAAAGATAATAATTTACTTTTTATGGGAGGGGGGATTATTAGTACTCCAGAGAGGAAGAAAATTTAGTGGTTGATGAAAAAAGATTGAGGTCTTCAACAAAGCATCTAGTTAAAACTGATAGAGCTCTAACTTGTATTGAGACCCTTGTCAAGGAATTTCCAGTGTAGAGTGACGTTATTATCATTCAGTTTGAGTAAGAAAAATCAGCAAAAAGCCATTCAACTCGTATAGATTACTCAACCATTATTTGAATAGTTGCTAAGATCATACTCATGTCAGCAGGTAAACCAGTCCATGAGAAAGTAACTGAAAATTAGCTTAGCACTGCCTTGAATGTGTGCGTGTGTGTGAATACAGGTTTTGATATGTAACGTATAGAGAACAATGGAATATTTCATCCTTCATGACTGTCTTTGCACACTCACCTTTGAAAAAAATAAAAATGTAAACTTACTTCTTATTATTCAGGAAATTGCCTATTTCCTGCAAACTCCTATAAGATGTTGGCCTCCACTACTGGCAATGGCAAATCATTCTGTAAAAAAAAATAAAACCATCTTAATCGGATCCCAGCCTATCTTTCCCAAATTTCAAATTTGTGAACTTCAATAAGATCACTTCTTACTCTTCTCTTCTCAAGAAAAACTAAGTTAAGTGGTCATAACTTATTATTGTAAGATAATCCTTCCATTTCACGAGTAGAACTAGGGGGGTTATTTAATTAATTGACATAATCAATAACCTCTGAGCATTGATTAGTTTCAAGTAAAATAACTTATTAATTGCAATTTTGATTGAATGGATTGTCACACAAATAATTGAAATATTGCCATTATGAATTCACAGTTGTTCACATCAATTGATTAGTGCCACTACTCAAATAAATAATAAACTAATAAAAATTAGTGTTTCTGAGTATTACTATTTTTGATTAGTTGAATGTAATTGATTAATGAGCCCAAAATTAATCTATTAGCGAATTCCAATATTTCCCAGCCATATCCATGAACCTTTTTCAATAAGTCAATATCTTAAGATGAAAACCGTACATAGTATTCCATGAGATGTGTTAATTAGTGACTTGTCAGAGATAAGTATCTCTTTTGACTTATAATCAAAATGTCTTTAAATATACCCTATAATTCCATTAAATTTACTACTAACAACAAAGTAAAGACTGTGTTACATTACTGCCTGATGAGGGGCATGTGCCCAAAACATTGCACAAAATAAAACTATAAAAGGTTTTTATTTAGATGTGTAATTTTATTCTTTAGTATCTTTTTTTCTAGTATTTGATGATTGAGATAGCTGGATTATTAAATTCTACTTTTTCTTCAATTTTTTAGCAATATTCCTAATCCTGAATAGTTGCTAGATGAAAACAAGATGATCATTATAATTCTGAGCTTGTTAAGAAAAAATTAGTTTAAGAAATGATAAAGCCAGATAAAAATTATCCAAGGGTTTTGAAGAAGGTTAAGGATTGGATATGTGAGCCACTTGATACTATTGTTTCTAATTCCTTGGATAGTAGGCAGGTCGCAGAAGTTTGGAAGTTGGTTAATGTTACTCCTCTTCTCATGAAAAGTTATAAAAATTGTCATAGTATTTATAGCTTTATTAGTCTTACATCAGTGGTGGGAAAAGTTTTTGAAATTCTGATAAAAGATGCTTTACAAAGTTGTGTAAGAAAGTTTAAAATTTTTTTTAATAGTCAGCATGGTTTCACTAGGGAAAAAATCTTACCTTTCTAATCTTATGACATTCTTTGAAGAGGTTACTACGTACTTTGGTGAGGGCACTGGTATGTATTTGGTTTATCTGGATGTTTAAAAAGCATTTTTCAAGGTATCACATAAAAATCTTGTTAAAAAAAGTCATCCCTGTAGGTGTGGGGGATAGGTTGGCTCATTGGTGAGAAAAGTGGCTGGATGGAAGAAAGCAGAGGGTTGTTTTAAAGGGAAAATGGTCAAATGAGGATAGGTTAAGACCTCTGAAATTTTTTTCTCATGAAAAAAGAAGTTAGAATGATCTGATTGAGGTGTTTAAGATTTTTAAGAGAATTTATAATGTTGATGCATGTTTTTTTGTACTTAATGGTGAGAATGATAACACTAAGGGATAAAAGTATAAATTTTGGCAAGTGAGGAAATAAATTCAGCTAATACAGATTAATTGAAGGGAGGTTAAGGGCAGGCTTGATAAATATTTGAATATTGCGGGCTAGCTTTGAGTGATTTATTTTTATGTTCGAGTTTAGTTTAGTGGATGGAATGGCATAGATGGACAAATGGGTCTTAAATTATATATATTTTTGTATATGTATATACTAATATATTGAAAATAGACATGCCTCATATTACTGAACTTTTTCATTGTTCCAATTAAATGAAAATGTATGTCATGGCTAAAATCAATTTTCATACTTCAAGCAGATATTTTAAATAGTGTACACAATATAAGAATGAGTAAGGTAAAGAATCTTGGCTTATCAGTGCCACCCCTTTAACTTGTTTTAACAGCAATAACACTTAAAACCACTTGTAACTAAATGTAACCTGTAATCATAATATTTAATGTACAAAACTTTCATCACATCATTTTATCAGAAACTACTGCATAAGTCGACAAAACCTAAGGACAAGTTGAGATCTAGGGTTCTATATTTTATACTGTAGCTCTCATAATTAGGATCTTAACCAGATGTGACAAATCTAGAATCAAAAATAACAAAAGTAGTTTTTTAAGCTGCTAATAATTTTGAACACTTGAATCAAATCGCTTTCTGTTCTAGAGACTTTACTTGTATTGACTATGACAAAAGCACACCTCAGTAAGACAGATTTCAGCCATTTGTTTTCAGAGACAATTATTTGAATTGGTCTGTTTTATATAAAAGATTAGTTCATTAGCATGCTGAGAATGTAGTTTACACTTCAAACACCACATAAAGGTACACTATGTTCATTTGTAACCATAATATAAGATAATGTATATTGAATGACAAAACCCTTTTTTGGGGTTCCAGCAGCATTAGTCTCGAAGTATGTGTAGATGTTACCATCATTGATAAATAGGTAGTTATTAATAGGATCTCCTGAGCAAAAGTAGTGTGTAAAATATGTCAACTGCACTATAGTTGATAAAACATGATCATGTTTACTGCATAGTTCATATATCTGAGAAAGACAACTTTGGTGTCACTAATAGTTTTTCAACCTTTACAGTGAGTATCATTGAAGATGCTTGAGTGAAAGGCATAAAGTTAAAAATTGAAGTTTATCAGAACATCAGTTTTGTAATATTTTGTGCCAGAATGAGTTTTCTAATGTTCTTGAATTAAGTTGATTTGATCAGTGATTTTTTGGTATTTTTGTTTTCATTTTCTTTAATTACTTTAGTATGATGTATCAGGAAGAATAATTCATTATCATAGTTATGGGATAGATAACATCTAGGAACGTGATGATTATGAGCAATCAAGGCTTTGCCCTAGAAAAGGATTAGATACACTCAAAAGATAGTGTACAAAACTGATAGTTTTAATGGACAGGTATGGTCAAATGAATGTTTACACTAAAAAAGCTAAGGCTGATAACAAATGATGTTAAAAATTGTTATTGAATTAACTTATTTGAAGTCATAGCCAGTCTCAAAGAAAGGAGGAACAGTCTACCAAGATTGAATAGAATTTTTGACACTTCAATGAACTGTGCTTTTGAC